AGATATTTTCCACGATGTAGTTAATATTATCTAGTAGTTACACAGAATAGAATAATAGTTATCACTAGTGTTATCACCGAATACCGATTATACTATTTTAAATCCACGGTATTATTATGAATAATAATTTTGTCTATTACTTTAATCAGTGGCGTATGTACAAATTATTTTCACAATGGGCCAATTTATCACTACCTAGTCAGCATAGTGAGACTAACATAGCCATAACTATACATTTTTTAAGGAGCTGGGTGGTTATAAATACAAATAAAAATTGAGCAATTCAATTTTATAATTATTATGTTAAATTCATTTTTAATTCTTTTTTAAAAAATATTGACAATTTCATATATACATAATATATATTTTAATGTTATCTTATTGTGAATTTAACACAAAAGTCATCAAAGCAAGTCCAGACAATCTAACATTTCCTTGTTGATTCCTCAAAACGATTTTAATTAACCGGTTAAATTAATCATGGTGAAAAACTGTAAACAGTGTAGATATACATGAAATGGTTTAATTGAACCTGAAATTTAACTAAGGGCTCTGGCCTAGGGAGCCTCCCCCCTATATACGCTACTGACTTTAATACTTTGTTATTATACATTTAAAAATTATAGATATCTTAAGTAGTTGACACCTTCGCTCGGAAAAAAAAAGGAGGATGGAATTAGAAGATTGGTCAAAATGTCCTAAACATTTTAATTTGTTTTTTGTCAATCAATTATTAAGAAATAAAAAATACAATAAGTGCATGTGATATAATTTAAATTTTTTGTTTACATTTTTATGTTTTATTTTTTTTTATTACAGAGATTTTTTTTTTTTTTAAATAAAGGTATTTGTTTTAGATGTACTTTTAAAGTTGTCACTTATCTTTATCCTTTTAAATATTCAGCAATGTGCTTTATGTACAATTGCCAATTAGGACTAAAAAAATGTCATGCCATCAGGATGTAGTATACAGAATACAATATTATACCTTAACCCAAGCACCCCCCATAAAAAATCCTAGATCCGCCACTGATTATATACAGTCAAATAAAATCGCGACTTATTTCATAAAAAAAATAGCTGATATCACACCAAAAACACTTCGTTATAACTCCGTGTAAAGAAAAACTAAGTTAAAAAAAAAAAATTTACTAATGATTAAATCTTTAAAAGACGTGATATAATATGGAAATTAAGTAAAATGACATTTTATAATATTACAAACACCTATGATGACAAATAAGATCAATTGTAAATTGTAATGTTAAATGCTTAGTCAACATAATATTATGTTTAACTATTTGGCAGGACGTAGAAGTATACTTAAATAAATACAATTAAGTAATCACTACAGTAATTAATAATGTATCAACAATATGTTGACCAAGTATTTAACATTACAATTGATCTTATTTGTCATCATAGGTATTTGTAATATTATAAAATGTAATTTTACTTAATTTCCATTGTATACCACGTCTTTTAAATATTTGATCATTACTACATTTTTTTTTAACTTAGCTTTTTTTTTTACACGGAGTTATAACGAAGTGTTTTTGGTGTGATAAAATAAGTCACGACATTTATTTGTCCAACAAAATATGCGGGGAGTATAATATATATTACAGGCATACGTTCTAAATTTGACTTTTAATACACTGAAAATGTTACGTCATAATAGGTAAACTATGAAGCTCATATATTGGTTGATAGTAAATTATAAAAAAAAGATTATTATCGGATACTTTTCCCAAAAGCCATAATCAATTACGTTACGACCTAAATATATATTCCTTTTTATATTTAACATCTACTGTAGATGTCAACTAATAGATCATAATTTATTTACTGGTAGCTATAAAAAAAATTTACTATGATTTATGGGTTTTTTTATTTTTTGTACAATGAGTTATGCATTTACCATTTAATGCATAATATTATATTGACTGTTGATTGGGCGTTCACAAACGAATGTCTTGACAAAGTGTTATATAATATGATATTGGTAGGTAATTCGTTTTGTTAACTTTTTCATCCAGAATCAATAATAATTATTAACTATAAAAATATTTATAATTTACACAAGTTAGAAAGCAGAACCTCATTTTTGGTAGGTGGTTTGGTAAATTGTTTCTATTTAAATCTAAGATTTGAAAATGTATTACAAGGTTCTTCCATTAGTTTTCCTACATTTAAAAACAACAAAAAAATTTTTACCGAAAAGTTAAGCTAATTTTTTTTTAGCGTTTGAAGTTTAAATTTTTTGACATTGGATTTTCATTTTTCACCCTTAAATTAACGGATTCTCGCATCGAACGGTTTTCTTATATTTGGTTAAAATTCAAAAAACAAATAATCATAGATACCTGCAATTTTCACCAAATGTTTATTTTATGATGATATTTTCAAAATATATTAACTCGTATTGAGCTATTTATAGACAATATAAATTTGTATGTTTTTTTCTATAAATGTCAATAAAAAATTTTTAGTTGTTTCCAAAATTTGAAAATGTAAACAAGGTTACTCGTAAGCTGTTAAATACCAGTTAAAACCATTTTAAGATACACTGACACAGTGGAACTGTCTTTTTATATGGTTTTTAAGTTTAAAATTTAACAAAATTCATCAAAATCACAATAATGTATAAATTATTTTGTAGTTATAAATTTATAAAATATTCAATATTTAATTTTCATAGCCAAGGATCTAAAATGTAAAACAAAGTATCTCATAAATAGTTCATAGTTACACATGGGCGGATAGGCTTACCGGGAAGCCTTGCATTTCCCTGTGGGCCCCTACTTCGTATTTCAGCAATAGGGCCCTTTTCATGGTTAACACTTAACGCAATGACTCATTAGTCATTAATATTATACAATTACAATCTTATATCTATAAATCTATTACTATTCTGTGGTATTTTACAAGAGGTATCTTTTCGCCTATCGGCCCGCATCCACCACTCTGCCACCAACTACAACTACAACGTCAATTACCGGTTGGCGGCGGTTAGTGGTCACGGTTGTGAGTTGGGACTGTTAAGGTGGGTAATAACTCACAAATATTCTGAAAATAATCTAAAAGATATTCTGAACAAAATTGATTCTGAAGACATCATTAATAAATTAGGAGCTATAGGAGCCCAGTATTTGGTAGAAAGTTATTATTTAAAAATTAAAAAATATATAAATGATTTTAAAAATGTGTTTTATTGTACATTGTTTTCTTTTGATATGGTAGCTCATATAATTCACCTAATAATGTACTTGCGAGCGAAGTGAGGTTATTTTTTTTTCATGTGGGCCAGGGGGTCCCTTTTAATAATTTCTCGGTAAGCCAAATATAGCCTATCCGCACATGTAGTTACATACTGGCAACAAAAAATCTAAAAAAAATATATAAACACACTAAACACAGTTTTTCTATTACTATTTTAAGTTTTTAAGGGATTTAATATAGGCAACTACAATGACATTTTGGAGAATAATAAATTTTAATATGTTTAATCTTAAATACATTTAAATCTTAATTTAATGTATTTTTATTATTTTCTAAGGTGGTTCCATAGCATCACTAAGGTAGGAATTCCCCCCTCATTTTCATTAGCTTGCCACTGTCGGGCTGGTATGGGCTAGTTTTGGGCTTTCAACACTTTCATACAGTAGCTAATATATTTAGCCATTTAGGTATTCCTCTACAAAATGATATTATAAAATATTAATTATTTAGTCATTGTTATCTCCCGATAAAATGGGTAATTTATGCCTATGATAGTAATCACGGTTATCTGGGATAACTGTGATAATAACTTCTAAGTATAAAATTATGTGAGAAGGCTATTTGCGTTGAGATAAAAATGCAATTGTGTAATATTATTGTTAGTGAGCGGTTTTTTTTTTCAATTTTATTATGGTTCGGTCAACATTTTTGCCACCCCCTCCCCCCCTCAAAAACTGAAATAACACCACAGATCAGTACCAATAATAACTAAATATCATTGAATTTCGTTGTATTTGCATTTTTTTTCTGGATTGCTTTCCAAGATACAAATGTGTTTCAACTTTTCAATTACACACTTCAGAGGTGCTGTGCTACCAATGGGTTTGTCTCTTATCTCATTTTGTAATTCATATAATTTACTTACTTTGCTACTATTAGTATAGATTATAATTATTAAAATTTAATTATTTATTTTTTAGGCCATTTTTTAACCTACTTCAAGTAATATTATGAAGAAAATTAAAATATAATATATCTATAAATACCCATATTTTATTTAGATTTAAAACAACATAAGGTAAACAGGTTTTTTAATAAAACGATTCACAAATTTATCTTGATTTTTGAAGAAAGCTGGGGTTCATTTTAGAGTTTTTAGGTCATAAATGCATTTTTTGAAAGGGAATTTCTTAGTTTTGTTTAAGAGCATTTAAATCTGAGCCCTTATCATTACAATAATATACCAATACCTATTTCAACCAAGAGACCTTTTAGATAGCTGTTAATTTTAGAGTATTTAAACATAAGACACAATTTTAGCAGTGCTCTCATTAAATTTGTGGTGCATTATATACATTATTTGGGTTGTTTATCTAAGCTTAGTGCTTATTAATGAAAAAAAATACGAAGTATAAAATTATAGAATTGAGCATTTCTTAAGTTTTCCAAAAGACAGTTTTTAAAACATTGGTGTTTTGTTATAATAATCATCCGGTATAAAAAAAGTAAACAATTGGTTTGAGAAAACATTTATTATCACCATAAAAGTATCTGCCAAGAAATTATAAATTGTATTAAAAGAATGATAGTAACAAACAATTTTTGGGCAAGCACACAATATTGTTATTAATATATTATTGATAAAATGGCACGAAAGTGACTAACATTCTGAAGTTTTCAAGTAAAATATTTAACTTTATCCATAACAATAATAATATCAACTATAGCTTAGTCACTGTTGACACTGTACCGATATGTTAATAAATAACAAAACTAGGTTAGGCAGGCAAGAGATCGAAATCGTCGCTGACTAGAACCATCGGTACATGCTCTTCATCGATATTGGGTTCTGAGCTATAGGTACATAACTGTAATTCTTTCAACTTCCATCCCCAGTCCATTTTCTGTACAGCGTGTAAACTCTCTGCCTCATTGTGATGTCTCAGTAACATTGATTCCTTTAAAGATCATAAAAATCATTAATTTAAATAATTTTTTATAAATAGTTATAATTTATGAAGTTATTACCTTAATCTTTTCCCACTTATCATCTACATCTTGTAGCCATGACAAAAAAAGACGACCATTGTAACGGGATCGTGCATGTCTATCTTTCTCTTCTTCTTGCTCAGGTGTCATAATGTTATATACTTCATCATCCTTGAGTATAGTGCATACAGAAAATGGTAAAAGCTGATTAGCTAATGCACGAGCTGCCCGTCCATGGACCCTGAGTATCTCTTGTTCAACACTCAACACCAATTTTTCTTTTTCTACAATGTGCTAAACATAATATAGAATTATGGTAGTTAGGTCATTATATTATTATATTCTTTTTTTTTAAAGGTCAACTAAAAACCAACCTGTACACGAAGTCTTTGTCTCTCTTTCTCTTGTTCAACAAACAGCTTTTTCAACTGCTCATGTAAATTGGCTGGCGATGGGGTTTGTGTATTTACAACGCGGCTATTAGAGTTACCAGCTAAAACGTACGTGCACCTGTTCATAAGATAGTCTTTAAATCCAGATGGTGGTTTTGGTTGCACAGGAAACAAATTCTTACGTCTCTTATCAATCTAAAAAAATAAATATATAATAATAATGCATACAAATAAAAACAGCTAAACATATAATTATTTAACCAATTTACTTGTTTTCTAATGTTTAAAAACATTTGATAGCAATTGGTAACTGGAGCAGGTTCACTGGTTGAGCCGGACGGATTAGTTTCTACAGCAGTAACATTGGCGGCAGATGAAGTATCACTAGTCTCGGATTCAGTACGGCTTGCTTTTAATTTGCGTCGTCTAGGATGTAGTTCCATACCTGACAGTTCAGCAGTCACAGTAGATTCAGACGTTGTAGTTGCAGTAGCTGCAGCAGTAGTAGTTGCCTGTTTGTCATCTACAGAAGCGATTGCCGATACACTTTCAGTCTGTTCTGGACGAGCAGCAGATGGTGATGGATTACCTGATCCTGCATCCACTGTCACAGCAGCTGGTGAAGTAGTTTGAGCCAACTGTTCATCGGGAACAATTGGAGAAGTACCACGACTTGGTGCACCACTACTGTTACTTCCGCATCTGTTAGATGACCGTAATACTCTGGTTTGAGGAGACTTTTGCTCTTCTACAGCTATTGTATCAGTGGTCGCTTTCTGCGGAGACTTCGGCGAGTTAGGCTGATTAGATGCCGGTGGTGATTCTTCAGATGGCACTACATATGGTAATGCTGTATGATGTGATCGATTACCATTCTTGCCATTTGTTCTTGTACCTGTATCAGCATCGGTAGTAGGTATCACAATTTTTAATGGAGGTACTTTAGGACCACCTCCAGGACTGTCAGCATTAGAAGGCCCAGAACCACCCGACTTGTCCTCATCACTATCAGGTTTAGGACTAGAAGCCTCAGTTTTACCTAAAATAATTCAAACATTTAATTATTTTAGTAACTTTTTATCTAATAATTATATTATATTATATTCTTATAATTATTATTATGACTGTCTGATCACTTTTAGGTTCCATTAACAAATCAACAATTTAGTTTAATACAACAATAATATAATAAACCACATACTATTATTAAATCAAAATAAATATATAATTCTACATTTCTACATTCCACCTGTTTCTACCTACCTGAAATATCTTTTAAGTACATTTTACAGATCAATAAATACTGCATTTGTATGCATAATATTTATAATTTTTATATAAATATTAATTAAACTGTATTTATAACAACTTACTAAAAATCAGATGGTGCATATTATTATTTTTTCTTAAATCTCAAAATTCCTATATTATATACTTATACATTTTTTTTTTTTTAATTGAACTTAAGCCTGGCGACTGTTTATTAGTTGTTGTAGGGTTTATGAACTGTGGTTGGTAAGATTGATACTGTAAAGTGTTGTTACATTTGGTAAGCAACATGTGTATGAGTGGCAAGGTTTTTACTACCTACTACGAACCCAGGTGGTCACCCATCCATGAACTAGTAGTAGCTGGCTTTACTTACTCTCAGTGGAATCGCGCGACTAATAGCAGCCAACGCGTCAAGCCAATAGTCACAGTTGTACATTTATAATATGCAAAAATGCATTTTAATAAAAAAATATTAAGCTTATTTAAAGTTTTTTTTTCAATTTGTTCGATATTTTTCTTCTGTAAAAAAAGTTAAATCGATACTATTTTTTAACATCATAATTTAATTTTGCATTATGTTTTCAAATTCATCAAAATTAAGGATGAATTTTAATCATTTTATAAGTACAAATGTTTGATACATAGTTCCAATTTAGCTAACAATTTATTATATTAATTAATTGAATAAAATTAAATATTATATATATTATGACTCATAACATTTTATATTTAATCAAATACGTTTATAATTAACAGATCTTAGTACCTACAATTATTCGGTATTTTTGTTGTCCAATACTAACTATTATTTAGTATTCAGTTTTAAGTACAATAACAAATCTCCAGCTCTATCTGCTATAAGAAATATTATTGATTTTAAATTTAACAAATTATTATTTGATAAATTTAAGAGATTAAAAGTTGAATGCTGAAGTATCATTTTAAACATATTAATAGTACCTAACCATAAACATATAAAGTGACTTATTAAACCCAAAAAGAGTAAGTCACCTTTAGAACTTTGGCTATGATCTTCTTTGCGTTTTTTTGGTTTAACTTCTTCATCTTCTTCAACTAGAGACCGTTTTAAGTTATCTGTTTCTTTTAATGGTTTTACAGACGATTCATTTGATGAGCTATTTACAGTATCAGTTGCTTCAACCGAGCCACCATCTTTGGATTCAGTTTCTTTAGAAGTACTAGCTGATGTACTCTCTGCTGGTGCACTAGTTGATACATTTGCAGATTGAGAAACCGACTGGGTGGGTGTTTCTGGTTTTTCTTCAGTCTCAACAGTTTTCCTATAAGTGAAAAAGATTGATTGTATAATATGTTGTGTATGGTAAAAAAAAAATGTATTGTTTTCTTTTGTATAATACTCACGTATCGTTCGTCATGCTGGCGTTCTGTTCCTCAGCTATTTTCTTGTTCTTCTCATCCTGTCGAGCAGACGAACTCTTAAATTGATTATTACCCGTGTTGGTAAGTCTTAGTGTCACTCTAGGTGATGCATGTTGTTGTTTATCACTGTTCGCAGCATCTAAAATAAAAAATAAAAACCATTAATAACAGTATAAAAATTAGCAAAGTTGTCCAATAGTTTTATAATAATTATTATTTAATACAATACACAAAACATTATGTTATATTATACTACTCAGTATTCTCCAAAAATTGAAACCCAATATTTGATTAGCTACAAAATATTTAGGTACCTACTTATTTTATATTTATTCAACATAGTAACTGATAAATATTGAATAATGAAATACCTTCTGAAATACCACAGACTTATAATATCAAGCAAATCAAACAATTTGATAAAACATAAGCCTAGAAATTTGATAAGAGGCTAATGACATTATACAACTGATACCAATCAATTACTCACAAAAATAATAAATATACCACAAAATGATAACATTAGTTTACATACACTGCAAGTCATGACACTGCATGACACTGCAAGTCTGAACAAAAATATTCAAATTGTAATATTGTATACCTAGAAACCTACGGGAGTTATTAACTGGAAGTTTTAAAATTATTTATACCTGAGATAATACCAAATAAAATCAAGTGAAAAATGTAAAATTTACAACATATTGTTTCCTTTGACATAATTTATAAAAATAACACAAAAATAAACAAACTATATGGGGTAATTCACCAACCATGCTGCTCTCATTTTTTAATTTTTTTTTTTTTTGGAATTTTTAAATATACTAAGATAATTTTTTTTGAATTCTTGTATAATTTTGTTCTACTTAATGAGTCTCCTGTGGCTAACTTCTGTTTATCAAATGAAAATTCTCCTTTTTTAGTGTAAATTATATAGTGGATAATCTATCTGAAAATGTTGATGTAAGTACTTAGGTAATTCACGATTAGAATAAATAGTTTCTCAGTTCTTAAAATGTTTGTACTAAGGGTAATAAATATTATAAATTGATAGATTAATATTAATGACTAACATTTTCAAATCACCAAAGCCCCCATATCTTCTAAATCCATTACCGCGGACCTTCTTTTTATCCTTAGAACACAAAGTAAAATTACTCAAAAATTACTCGTATATATTTAAAATATATTTAATCAATGACTCGTACAAATTTTGATTCTAATCAGTTAAACAATTCAGAAAAATTATCTACTGAATAATTTACAGTCGAAAAGGGGAGTTCTCATTTGAAAAACATAAGTTTGTATCTCTACAGAACATACCTTAAGTAGTAAAAAATTCCTCAAGAATTTGAAAATACGGAGTCCTTAACTCAGACTTCAGAACCAGAAGTAATTTAAAAATTCCAAAAATTATATTTAAAATAACAGCATTATTAAAGAAATAAATGGGTACTCATGCTTGGTGAATCACTCTGTCTCGGTACATAATTTTATAAGCAAATGTTAGGCATTCATAATTAAAAATGAATATCATAAAACTGTACATTGAAACGTGAGAGTAAATTATTTCATTTCAAATTGCATTTATAAATTACAAGAAATAGGTACATATTTTTAAAGCGTCAACTTGAACACATAACATATTTATTTCTCACTATTCTCTTTGTCTGATCGCACAATTTCTAAGTCAAGATTGCAGAAATTATTATTGCCATAACTACCTAATTACTAGAAAATACCATAAAATACCAATAAAGAATAAAGATGGAATTAAGTTAGAACCTACCAACCTACATATTGATAATATGCGAAGTAGGTCAACCAGAAAATTTGTACTCGATATTACAAACAAAACAATGGAAGTTAAACAAAAATCACAACAAAGTCCAATCAGAGTGTATTGTATTGTTTTTTGAACAAAAGATTAGTAAATGTTAAAAATATCTGGGTACATATTATAATATTATATAGTACTATAACTTATTATATAGTTACATACAATTTGATGGAAACTAAAAATTTGTTAAATCAAGAACCAGTTTAAAAATAGATAAAAATATTAATCTCATCAATCAATAAGTTATTAACTAGTAACTCGATGATGACATTATTTTGTTTAGCCTCTTGAATAATAATAAAAATGATAATATCTAATAGGTATTCGGATACTTGTCAAGTTGTAAATAATATTACAAATTACACTTCAATTTAAAATACATTAATTTATTGTAGGTTCTCAGATCTGGACAAATTATTCGATATTCCTGATTTTACAAACGGTAACAAAAAACTATATTATTTTATTATCAACAGTAGGTATCCAATTCCATACGTGTAAGACAAAAAATAAATGAAAATTATAATTTTCAGGAATAGGCTGTAACCGTATCTATAGATATATACAACAACTTGTTGTATGTATCTATGGCTCCAGCCACTGCAAAGCACAGAGCAGTAGTAAGTTCATAAGATTTATTTAACTCATCTGAATAATATAAGAAAAAATACAATAATTTTATAATTATTCAAATTTCTATTTCTATTATTACAGACAATGCCTCACAATGTACGCTAAAAATCAAATCCTATACATTTTACCCAGGTAAGACATTCATCAAGATTGTGATGCACTGGTGCTACAAAATAATGAATAGGTACTAGGTAGTCAGCAAGTATTATGTTTCCAAACAATATTATAATATTATTATTTATGTTATTATGTATTATGTAAGCTCTAATCGAAATTCGAAATCGACTTTCGTGGTTCAGACGAAGTACGGTGATGTACACACTATGTCGTGAAGAACACAATTCCATTCGTTTCGTATTTGGAGTTTTTTTAAATTATGTAGAATTGTAGAATCTGTAGGTGTACGGAAGACGGTAAAGGGTAAACTGTTGTGTTTACGTTTCTGAAAACTAAGATATCGATACTCGGAAGAAAATGTCTACACTTCACAATATTATAAATGATGGACAAAAATTAAAATACAACCGCTCTAACCCCGTTCGTTTCTCAACCCGTGGCTACCTCCGCAGTCCGTCGTATAACCTCCTCCTAATGCAACGATAACAGCTGAATGCCGTTTGCCCGCAAGTCTCGTACTGCGCTTCACCGGATTCACAGACGTCATGATGTCCGTCGTCTCAGACGCTAACGTGCTGCGAAGTCACTGAACGGAATTCGATTCGATTTCGGAGCCGACAACAAGACAAGGTCCATTGGGGAAAAAATATGGGACACAAAGGTCGACCGTCGACTGAAGACGCATATGGTGGTAACAACAGGGGGTATGGGGACCAATAAGCGATTATATTGTGAAAAATGTTGGACGGTATTATAATGGTATATTATATCTTATATATTTCGAAATGATGATACACAGAGTGATCGTAATCTTGACGTCGTCGGCGACGATCAGCAGGCCGACGCGTTTCGTTTCGCATTACATTTCCGATATTATTGAGACTGGTTCAGTTGTACAGCGTAGGCATTTCCCCGTCTTTGGGGCCCACGAAAACGTTTTCAGAACTATACAAATTTATAAAATTGTATTGTCTATATCTGTGTATTGTGTAAATAGTAAATACAATAGGCGACCGTTTGAAAAAAAATATGGGTTTTGACGATTGTATACGTTTGACGATAGAAGGAAAAAAATTACGATAAACGATCACGCTGTAGACAATCATGCTGCACACGAGTATAGGACCATTCCAAGCGGACCTTACACAAAAGGCGGTTGGCTTGGGCGGCAGGAAAACGTGACAACGTCGCTTCCACAAATCGAAATATTCTGCTCCCCACCCCCGGGTTGAAGCGGCGATAGCACAGACACCGCTACTACCCGCTGGTGACCGTATAACACGCGGCACGTAAACATAGGCTCTTTTGTGTGCCCAGGACATGTGAACGTGTAGCGTATGTGTGCGTGTGTTCAAACCCGTCTCGATATCGTTTCCTATTTTGTACACACGTGAAAAGAAAAAACGGCACCGACGGGGAACAAATAAAACGACCTGGCATAATAATATTATGAAGTATGAACGTCGGAATGATGATTGTATTATTAATATTGTACTATTGTCTATTGCATTTTAAAAGAAAAATCTAGCTCTAACCTCAGCTAATTATGTCGTATCGGCGGGGGGTAATGCCCAGACACTGGATTTCGAAAGCTCAAAACTCGAAAAAACGCGAGGCAGACCTCCGAACAGCGTTTTAGTAGAGTTTAGAGTAGTAGTTGTAATCCCGAAGAGACGAAAACGACGCGGCGACGACTCGAGGACCCGGACGACGCACTATCGTTGTAGTAATAGGCTGATGGTTGTACCCGGACGCGTTCGCCTACACTGGCGAGCGCGTCTCCTCGTGGTCCGCTTGCGCTGCAGAGCCACCGATCGTACGCCGTGTCGAGTTCGGCGACGGCGTTCAAGGTCGGCGGCTGCGGCAACGAATACAACTATAATATTATACCTGTACGAGCACTTGACGTTCACTATATCGTACATGGTACATCATCTATACGTATTGTCTAGTATCGTAGTGCGTCGACTGTTCGGCCTACGGCGTTTTGGATTTTCACGGGGGTGACGAAATTCCACGCGAAATAAGCATTTATTTTTGCAACTTATGCGCCAAAACGCAATGATGTATGATTGGCCTTACCAAAGAAAGTTCAAGTAGGGAATAAACACCGGTGTGCCTCGAAAGAACCCTTCGCTATTTAGAAGATCCACGGTGTTGACGGAACCGTCAGTTCTCATTCGAAAAAAATTCGGGATGCGTGTTGCCCAGCGGGTGGGTTTGAGGGGTCTCATATATTATTAAATTTTATGTGCGACGGTGGTTTTTTCCCCTCGGAGATCTCTTCGGAGTTCGAGCGTACCTGTATGCAAAAATGGCAACGAGTCTATCCGTCGAATTGGAAATTGCACTTATAGATAGTTTTTTTGATTTTCACTTGTGTGTGTAAGATTACATTTTTTATAAATTAGCGCGATAAAAAAAAGTGTCAAAATTAATCATTATAATATATTTATATTTGAATGCGATGATTTATAATGTACGTATGTAATAACAATTACACCGTCGCTATCATAACCTGCTAGTTCGGTACCATTTCCGGCTTTTCATCATACTTTCAACTTCGTAGTGGGATAGTAGGTTAGTATAATATATTTACAATTTTATTTCTGATTAGCTATATTTATATATTATTATGATTCATAAATTATGGACTTTCCACTTCAGAAACGTAATTCAGAATACTTATCTGATAAAATATCTATAGGTTAGTACCTATACCTATAAGTAAATAAGTATATTAAAAATATATACAATAAATTTGAACTTCCGCCAATAATAACTGGTCCATAATATGACGATACAGAGATTATGATGATTAAGGACATTTAAGGTCATTCGTATATTTATTTTCTTCAAATGAGAGTTAGAATGCCAATTTATAAGTGACCATTAAGGTTACGTTTATAATATGGTTTATTATAAATATTTAAAATATTATTAATATTAAATTATTATTTTTATGAATCGGAACTATAAAGAAATTAACATTAAGTCATTAGCTGCAGGGATACAATTTTTAAAATTACATTTAATTTGAAATGAAATATAAAACATTTTAACGGAGTAAACGTTCATGACGACATTATGTTATTTAAATAAGAGAACAATTTAATATATAATGTTTATTAGTTTTTCCACAAAAAAAATGTCAAATATAACTATTTTTTATATTATAATGTATTATTCACATATAAATAAAAAAAACAAAAAGCCAAGAAAATAAAAAAAAATTAATTATATTTAATACAGTTTTAAAAAGGTGGGTAAGTGGACGTCGTTCTGCAATACAGTTTTAGGTTACAAGTGGACCACTGTATAATGAATTGTATTAAATTTGAATTCAATGATATAAAATCATTGAATACGAAAAACGATTCTGTTAGTGTGGATATTGAATAATATATTTATATTGTTATGACTTATTATTAATACGGTAGCAGGTAAATTTAATTAATATTATACAATTAAAACAAAATAACTAAAATCGTTATTCTTGGTTATTTAATATGATATTTGATCATCAAATAACTAAAAAAAAAACTGCGTTTTTATATTTTTGAAATTGTTTGGTTATATAATAACCTACTTATGTTGAATCTTGGTTTAAATTTTCAATCCTTAGCTATAAAAGTTGAACATTTTATAAACTACAAAATCATTATTACATTTTAAATTTGATAAATGTTGCCAAAAATCGAACTGCAAATGCTTATAAAAAAAATTGTAACTACGTTTTTTTAATATTTTTTAACTACTATTGTAACAATATATCAGGAACCTTGAATTCAAATTTTATGCTTTTTGACCCAACGAATAAAATATTATTGACATTTAAAGAGAAAAAACTGAAAAATTGTAAACACGGTAATATGATTATTAATTAATATAATTGTTGGTAAAAATAAAGTTAAGAGGACGTGATACCCTCATGTGTTATCTTCGTCTTACAAGTGCGTAACATAGCAAATTATACGTTCAGCAGAACACGTGTAGCTCAGTTAATTTAAAAATTAGAGTGAATTGACCTCTAATAAAATATAATAAAATGGGCGACAACCAATTTTACCACTTTTTTCAAACGCGTGGCCTCCAAATGTAAGTAAAAATCGCTAGGCCCAGGGCATGTGCCCTACTCGCTCCCCCCACCCCTAAGGACAGTCCTGGACTGAGACAACACATGTGGGTATCACGTCCTCTAAAACCTCTATACCGCATATATTACTATAGTAAATATAGACTTGTCATTCATAACACAAATTATAAAATATTAAAATATTGTCATTAGTAAGAAAATTTAGTAAGAATATGATTCACATCCAATATTAATTTGTTTCATCGATATATTTTAATCATTGCATTATATAACATTTTGAATATTATAATATTAAAATTTAAAACACTTTACGTCATTATAAAAATACAATGGATTTTAACTGTTGTCTGATATTTGTTTTAAAATTTTAAATGGTAAGCCTAGTTAATGAAATTATGAATATATATATATATATAGGTATAAATGATAAAACATTTTTTTTTTTAAATAACATGCATTACTTGACTTTTATCAGTGTAGCCAAAAATATTCAATATTTCACAATTAAACGGATCTAACTTCAAACAATGAAATACCAAACAATAATTCAATATTAAACTAGTTAGGTACTGTAATGAATAATGATAGTATGTCTATATAATATATATTATAGGTATTTCATAATATAATATTTAATTTTAAGAAAACTAAAATTGATCTTAGCCATTTAATATAAATACCGAAATATATATTCTATAGTCAAATAAGTATGATAGAAAAACACATTGTGACATCACCAGGCCAATAATCATTGATAAGAATAATAAATAATTATACAAATTAAATACACATCCACACACCAAGAGTGCTCACTGATCATCATGGATCTATCATTTCTCTGTAATTTAATTTGTTTTACAATACCATTGTACCTAGGTAGTAAGTATTATTCATTTTAAATAATTTTCATTCTCTCAGTTTACTTCCATATATGTTTGATATTTTTAACTCATAACGGTACTAATAGGTTCATACAATTTACAAAAAATACACAAATATCAATAAATCAATATATATAAATGCATTCATCGCCACGAAATATAGCCAAGAAAATAAACATCTTTATACGTTATAATTCTCGTATTTATGTCTGTGTTCTATTATAATATGTGATGATTTTTTAATATATTTTTTATTCAGGTACACATATTAAAAGTATAGGGTCTTAATCATAATGCACAATAAATAATTATAAAATTACTATACAAATTATAACATAATTGTTCGAATTCGAATAAAACTAAATATAATAATTATTTAATTCACAATATTGTGTAACTTAATTATACAACGTCGTCACTTGTACTAGAAAAATTTTAATTTCATAAAAAAATCACAATAACAAATTTCTTAACGAATTTATTTTTGCAATGTTTGTGCATAAACAAAACTCAATTTTGGTTCAATAGAACTATCATTCTATTTTAAAATTTACAAATAAAAGTTGAAAT